AGAAGAAGAAGAAGAAGAAGAAGAAGGAGAAGGAGAAGGAGAAGGAGAAGGAAGAAGAAGAAGAAGAAGAAGAAGAAGAAGAAGGAGAAGGAGAAGGAGAAGAAGAAGAAGGAAGAAGGAGAAGGAGAAGAAGAAGAAAAGTTTATATTTCCAAGTATTAAACTGAATTTCATCAAAACTTAACACTTTTGCTCTTCAAAAGACATTTAGTATAACTAAGACAGGACACAGACTGGACGAAAATATTTGCAAACCATGTATCTGATAGAGGACTTGTATCCAGCATGTATAAAGAAATTGTACAATTCAAAAGGAGACAACACATTTTTTTTAAACGGGCAAAAGACTTAAACAGACATATCATCAAACAAGATATACAAATGGCTAAGCAGCACATGAACAGACAGTCAAGCTCAGGAGTCCTCAGAGAAATGCAAGTTAAACCCATGATGAGATCTCACTCATGAGAACGGCTGCAGTCAGAACAACTGACAGTAACAAGTGTCCACGAGGGAGTGGAGACATGGGAACTCAGACATTGCCAGGAAGAAGGGAAGCAGTTTGGCAAACTTGGAAAACCAGAGCTGATCATACGACATGGAAACTCCACTCTTAGGGATCGATGCAAGAGAAAGAAAAACACTTGTCCAGACAAAGGCATGTCTGCAAATATTTATGCCCGCGGCAGTACTCATAACAGCCAAAGAGCAGAAGCACCCAAATGTCCCTCCACTGAGGAATGAATAAACAAAATGTGGTCCATCCATACAAAAGACTTATTATTCAGCCATGAAAAGGAATGAAATGCTGATACAAACTACCACATGTATGAACCTCAAGAACATTCTGCTTTGGGGGAGGTATAGCTGAAGTGGTACAGCACATGCTTATCATGCATAAGGTCCTGGGTTCAATCCCCAGTACCTCCTCTAAAAAATAAATAAACCTAATTACCTCCCCCTACTTACAAAAAATAAAAAGTTAAAAAAAAAAGAACATTCTGCTAAATAAAAAAGCCAGACACAAAAGACTACAAACTATATTCTTTCATTTATAGAAAATCTTCAGAAAAGACAAATCCATAGAGATAAAAAGCAGATCTGTGGTTGCCCGGGATTCTAGGGTAGAAGCAAGGATTCAATGCAAACAGCATGAGAAATCTTTTTGGGGTGTGGAAATGTGAAACTAGGTTGTGTTGATAGCCACAACTCTATAAATTGAGTAAAATTCACCAAGTTGTACACTTATGAGTGAATTTTATGGCACATATATTATACTTCAACAAAACTCTTAAAAAGTAAATGTTTGGGAAGTAAATATTTGGGGGAGAGGGTAATAGCTCAGTTCGAGAGGGCGTGCTTAGTATGCACGAGGTCCTGGGTTCAATTCCCAGCACCTCCATTTAAAAAAATGTTTTAATAAAAAGATAAAAAGAATTCAAGAGAAAGTGACAAATATTGAAGGCAAAGAAGATCTAATATATGGATATCAGAAGTCCCTAAGGAAAAAAATCAAGACAAAGAACAAATATTAAAGCTATATTTAAGAAAAATTCCCTAAAATTAAACAAAAAAGTTTTAAATTTACCTATTGAGAGAATATACTGGATATCTAAGAATAGCAACTCCCAGCCCCAAAAGACCTCAACCAAGACTCATTGTGATGAATTTTTTAGACTTTAAAGGAAAAGAAAAAAAATCCTTCAAATAGTGCTTTATAAAAGAAAATTAGCTTATCATTAACCTTTTTTGGCAGCAACACCAAGTAGTAAAGGATACTGTAATTTCATCTTTCCAAGTGTTGTTGAGAACTGGGATCCTCAAAAGAAGAAAAAGATGTTAAGACTGAAGATGTCAAGCAAATACCCTAGAATCCTGAATCTGAATTTGAAGTATCACTCACGATGTATTAAAACAAAACAAAGAATTCCTAACCCCGTCCAGGGAGCGGTCAGCACTCTGGCACCCAGGGAGCGGTACTTACACTCCATTTCCCATTAAAAGGAACCAGGACCCTTGGAGAAACGCTTGGAAACATGCAGGTCTCCTAGAATATCTCAACACCCCTGGAGACAAAGGTGCTGCTGAAGACTTTACTAGGTCACATCATAGAACTCTGATTAGAGCCCTGGTGAGAGTGAGGAGGGCAGCGGACACTGAACGGATCAAACACGCTTCCACCCAGAGCAGCGCAGTAAAGTAACTGCCGGTCACTGCAGGACGCTTGGGAGCCAGTGTATTACTGGGGAAACTAATATCTAAGAGGAAGACCACGCAGCGAGCCTGCCTCTCCCACAAGCTGTGACAGGGCCACAGTACATGAGTGCAGGCAAGCACCTCTGACAGAGAGCCCGGCTAACCAGCGAGGGCACGATGGGGCCAGGACAGCCTGCCAACCTTGGGGAGGTGATGACACATCACATGATGGGGCTCCAGTGCCCCTGAGGACACAGCCATACACAACCACTGTGTGTCTCCTGACAGAAGCGTGCGACACCGCCTAAATCAAACCAACTACCTATTTACAGGAAATACATCGATCAAAGCAGCAGGTCAACAGTATCACAGGGATGGGTCAGAAAACCCAGTCCATGAGGAGACAGATATGTGCCCTGCAGTCTTCAAGGGGAAAAAGGGATGGAGAGAGGAAACCTTTATTTAGAGACTCAGGAGACATATGAACCTACTACCACATGGGGACTTTTTGGATCCAGATTCAAATTGCAATGTTTTAAAATCATATTTATAAGAAAACTAGAAATGTGAATACTGACTGATCCAGGATACTGAACACTGATTGAATATTTGATGATATGAAGGAACAGCTGTTAATTTTTGCAGGTGAGATATTTTAGTAATTTTTCCAAGTGCATTGCTTTTTTGATATATACTTATATATTTAGAGATACTTCAAAACTCTGGGGCTAAGGCACGTATATAGTGACATGTATGTAACCAGCTGACACCGCTAAAAGGTGCTGGGGGGGGCGGGTAGTAGGGAGGCATCGCACAATTCTCTTCTCTTTTGCATAGATCTGAACTTTCCATAATGAAAATGAGAGAGAAAAAGAGCAAAGACGAGCAAGAAAGCGAGGCAAGGTGGGGGAGGGGAGGGAACAAAGGAGGAGGCAGTAGCAAGGCAGAGAGCTGACCTTGGACCACACAGGGAGGGTGTGAATGGGGTACACCTGGGGGTGGGGCACAGACAGGGTGTTTCAAAGGTGGAGAATCAGCAGGAAAGAGCCTGGGCTGAGGCCAAACCCACCCACCAACATTCCTCAGGGCTGTGGATGCATCTGGTCCCTCAGGTGCTGCCTCATCTGGCCCTCCCAGCACCACCTGCGGCCATGCGGTGGACAGTACCAGCTCGAGCTGACTGACCTAACTGTCCAGGATTCTCAAGCCAGAGGCGGCGTCTCCCCTCCCACTCCACAAAGGGAATAAGATGGCAGCCCTGTCCCTCCATCCCTGGGCTCGGTGTGTTTCTGAGACATTGGGCTCAGAAGTCCACTTATCAGCTGAATCTCTGAAACAACTGAGTCGGAGTTCTTTACAAGATGCCCCCCTCCTTATCTCACAAAGACCTTCATTCCTAAAGCATACGATGTCTAGGGAGCATCTTGCTGGGGACCTGATATCCACAGTGGTCGGTCTGTCCTTAAGAGTCCTAAGAATTTCAACAATGAAACTACCAATTGGACACAAAGTACCAATGTGTTCATTCAGAAACATTAACCAGTGCTTTTTAAACAAATCATTAGGCAGTTAACCATGTTACAATGAGCAAGGATGAATCAAAGCATGCATTTTCAAAGTCCACTTTAACTATGTTTTCTTTATAATTTGGAGAATAAATCAACATCCATGTAGCTGATGATCTGGGGACACGGGAAGCCACAGAAATACCCCAGGAGAGAACCCCAGTCTGCAACCAGCTGCAGGCGGGCAGCCTGGCTCCCACGTGGTTATCCTAAAGTGAGAAATTTACTAGCAAATTATTTTGTTTCTGCTACAGATGTGCAGACATAATCTGCAGAAGAAACCAGAACAACTTTAACCACAGTTAACTCCAGCTATGGAAGCACCAAGCACAGAGATCACCCAGAAAGCACAGCATTTCACAGGGAGATATGACCCTTCTAAAGCCTAAAGCTCTAATTCGAAAAGATACATGCACCCCAGTGTTCACAGCAGCACTATTAACAACAGCCAAGACATGGAAACAACCTAAGTGTCCATCAACAGTTAAATGGATAAAGAAGTTGTGGTATACACACACACACATAGACACACACACATAGACACACACAATGGAATTTCTCAGCCATAAAAAAGAATGAAATAATGCCACTTGCGGCAACGTGGATGGACCTAGAGATTATCATACTAAGTGAAATTAAGTTAGAAAGAGAAAGACAAACATCATATGATATCACTTATATATGGAATCTAGAAAATGATACAA